TTCAGAGGTGAATCTCTGATTGTAGTATATGTTGTATCATTTGTTGTACTTGTTTGTTCGGTAAGTTGTATTTGTGTGTTTGTTTGGGTTAGAGGTGGAGATATTACAGTATGTTGTGTACCGTGTTGTGAGCGAGTGCTGTTGTTAACATGTATACGTTGTGGATCATTTGTGTATGTAGTATCTTGTGTTATGTTTAGAAATTTACGAACAATATGGCATGTGTTGATAATGACTGCTTTTTGTAAATGTTTGTATGTGTTTTTGTCTAAACCTAATAGTTGTAGATTGTGGTGTATTGTCTTTGGTATAACTCCGGTAGCACTAAGAATAATGGGAACTATAACAGTAGATTTCATTCTCCATTGCGTCTTAAGCTCGATAGCTATATCGGTGTATTTACAGTGTTTTTCTGCATGTGTTTTAGTTAAGTTGTTAGTGTTGGGTATGGCAATGTCTATAATACAAATGGATTTTTGTGTTTTATCTATAAGTGTAATATCTGGTCTATTATTGTGGATAGTTTTTTCTGTGAGTAGTGTCCTGTCCCAATATAATTTGTGTGTGTTGTTTTCAAGTATGATCTGTGGCGTGTATTTGTAGTATGGTGTCTTATCTGTTATGAGATTGTGTTCAAGTGCTAATTTTTGATGTATGATTTTAGCTACCTGATCGTGTCGATGTTTGTATTCAGTTTGTGCAAGTCGTGTGCATGCCGATATTATATGTTGGATTGTTTCTGATGTTTGTGAACAGAGTCGACAAGAATCGGTTGTCACTGTTTTGTCTTTATGTATGTGTNAAAGGAAAATCAAACGCCAATTTCAAAACTTGGTTTTGCGCATGCGCAGTGCCAAGTTTTTTATTTATGGAAGAATTTAAACGAAATTTGATACAAAAGCACTTCGAATAAAGGAAAATCAAACGCCAATTTCAAAATTTGGTTTTGCGCATGCGCAGTGCCAACTTTTTTATTTATGGAAGAATTTAAACGAAAATTGATACATAGGCACTTGGGATAAAGGAAAATCAAACGCCAATTTCAAAATTTGGTTTTGCGCATGCGCCATGCCAACTGTTTTTATTATGAAGAATTTAAATATGAAATTGTGATTACATAGCACTTGGAATAAAGAAAATCTAGCGCCAGTTCAAAATTTTATTTTGCGCATGCGCCGTGCCAATCTTTTATCTATGGAACTATTAAGTGAAAAAAAAAAAAAAAAAAAAAAATTTTGATACTTAGGCGCTTTGAACAAAGGAAAATCTAACATTAGTTTTAAAATTTAGGTTTGCGCATGCGCAGTTCCAACTTTCTTATTTAGAAAAGCATTGAAATGAAATTCTTCTCATAAACTGAAATTGAAGTAGCACGTCAACAATGGATTGCCCATGTGCAACGCTATCTTTCATATTTGTGGCCGGATTTTTACGATTTTAACAGAAGTTGCATCTTACAAATGGGAAATGAATGCAAGTGGAAATGCACTTTATGTAAATCGTTTACGATTACTTTTTAACTTGTTTTGTATAGTTACGTGTGTTAATGACCTGGTCTTGTATTGCTAACATGAAACCCTCAGTCTCCGGGAAAACATCACATTCAGACAACCACCTGTGCGTTGCTATAGAATCAACACAATCCTGGCTAACCTCTTGTGGAAATCGTCCATGTAAAGGCTTTTGGTTCCATGTTTGTATATTATTTGTGATGTATGTAAGTTTGGATGTGGGTGGGAGTATATTAGTTTCGTGTAGGTTAAGTGGTGTGTAAGATTTGTCTGCATATGTTACTGTTTTGTGTAAAATTGAAGTATCTGATTTGTTATAAAAGTATTGTTGTAAATTGTGTATTTGTGTTTGGTGCAATAGTTTTATATCTGTAAGTCCTCTACCTCCTTCCGAACGAGGAAGGTAAAGTCGTATAGTAGAGGAGTAAGGGTGATGTATATGGTGTTTTGTTAATAGTGTACGTGTGTTTCTCTGTATTTGTTCTAAATCTGTATTTGTCCAACGTATAATCCCAAAAGAGTATGTAAGCACTGGTGTGGCATAAGTGTTAATTAATAGCTTTGATTGTATTTCTACCGTGTAATTTTGTTTTAAGTATACTGCGTACTCTTTGTAGGTATTGTGTGATAAGTGTTTGTTTTATACTCGTATATTTAATGTGTGTGTTTTGCTGAAATCCAAGATACTTATAAGTCTCATTCTCGTCCATGGAATTTATTAAATTACCCTGTTCGAGCTCATAATCTAAAAGTTGTCTTTTACCAGCTGTGATGTGTTGTGTTTTACATTTATCGATTCCAAAGTCCATTTGTATGTCACGTGAAAATGTTTCCGTGATGTGTAGAAGGTGATTAAGTTTTATGCTTGTGGAAGAGTATAATTTCAGATCGTCCATGTAAGGGGTTCATGTTAGCAACAGGTGTGTAATGTTGTGATGTATTTCGTGGTTGTGTTTAATATTGTACCCAAAGTTAGTAGTGTTTAACAAATATGAAAGTGGATTAAGAGCAAGACAAAACCAAAGCGGACTTAAAGAATCGCCTTGAAAAATGCCTCTTTTAATTTGTATTGGGTCAGTAATAAGTTTTGTGTCGTTTAGTGTAAGTGTTAACGTAGTGTTCCCACATGACATTATGTAATTGAGAAATTGTGTAATATTGTTGCTGACTTTGTATATTGAGAGTACTTGTTGTAACCAAGAGTATGGTACTGAATCGAATGCTTTTTTGTAATCAATGTATGCAGTGTGTATGTTTCGTTTGTTATGTCTGGATTGTTCAAGTATTACAGAGTCTATAATGAGTTGCTCTTTACAGCCTCTGGAACACTTGGTACACCCTTTTTGTTCTTCGTATAAAATGTTGTTATCAGTACAGTGTTGGTATATTTTGTTGGTAATGCATGATGTAAGGATTTTGTATATTGTAGGAAGGCATGTAATTGGTCTATATTTAGATGGGTCTTGTGTATTGTTGTCTTTTGGGAGCATGTAAGTGATACCTTGTGTAAAGAATGCAGGAGTGCGATCTGGTGAATTAAGAAGTTCAGTAAATTGTTGTGCAAGGTAAGAGTGAGTGTAGGTAAAATATTTCCACCAAAAGTTGTGAATGTTATCAATGCCTGGACTTTTCCAGTTATGTAAGTGATTAATAGTTTGAATGATGTCTGTTGTAGTGATGTTTGTGTTATTCATAGGGGTAATGTATTCAGTGCGTGTGGTTTCTGTGGTAATCCACGGGGCGTGTGGATTGTGTTTAATGTCTTTGGCCCATAAGTCAGACCAGTATTGCTGGAGTGAGTGTAGAGATGGTGGAATGAGTTTTTCATTAGTGCTGTTTTGTGTTAGTGATCTGTAAAATAGTTTTTCGATATGTTTAAATTGTGTGTTATGGCGCTTTCTGTCTGCAGTTTCCCTATAGCGTTTTAAACGGTTTGTGTATATTGATAGTTTTTGTGTGAGTGTATCTCTATGTTCGTTATAGTTTGTATTTTGTTCTCGTGTGGTGTGATTGTTTAGTTTTGTAGTTATGTGTTGTACTTGTCGTGTTAATTTTGAAGAACGAGTTCCTTGTATGTATTGTGTAATTCGACCCAAGTCACGTCTGATGTCATCGATGCGATTAATCAGGCGTTTTTCCCAAGCCGGGGGTGAGCGTTTTTTTGTTGTGTGGTGTTCTTTGTTTGTTGTTATTCTTGAACCGTTACATCTAGAAACTGCAACCGCACCGCAATACACAACAAAGTGTAGTTGATGTAAGCTTGTGTTATCGTTAATGTAATTTGGTAAAATGTGATCATTTAGTGTTTTTGAGAGTGTGCGTAATTTTGTAGTGTGACTTTGTTTAGGTATTCGTGCTCTTTGTGTTGGGTCAGTGTTTGAGAATTCTAACAATGCATTGTCAAATTCTTTTTGAAGGGATGTGAGTGTTTGGTTTATGTGATTATTTATATCTATCGGTTGCTGGGATGTCGCAAATGTCTGTATTTCAGAGTTGTTTAGAACGGGTGTATTATCTTGTACGATGAGTGTGTTGTTTGTGTTGAGTAGTGCTTCAATTTCGTGCCTGATTTATTCCTGTGTGTCTAATGTAAGGAGTGTATTTTTAATGATAACTCTACGTTGGTCTGCAATGCGTTGTTCTGTTAAGTGTGCTAAATGTGGGTATTGTGTAATGAACGCGTGATATAGTTTACCTCTGTATGCTGTCCTGTCCGTTTCCATCTTCGTGATCTCCAGATACGTATACCGAAAATGAAGCGATTCATCCCTTCCCATCCACAAGCGGTTGAGAAGCAGGCACAAAGGTCTCTTCATGGCGGTCCTCTTCATTATTATTATTATGGTCGGTGTTTCTTGTGAGAGCTCAGGTCTAGCCTGGTTAACTAATCGCACGGATTAAAATCAAGTAACGATTAGTGTCTGTGTCTGTGTCTGGTTATGTAGGGTCCAAAAAAAAAAAAACATCACACACGTACATTTAAATCTAGGGATAGTATATGTAATTCGTACTTACCAACATACCTATTGATGGGCACAATAGCCAACGCTATCAGGAAAGAGGAAAACAAAACAAAAAAAATCATTATATTTTCCAATGTCAAAATAGCCCTGACATTTAGATTTTCTTGACGGTTTCAGGTAAAAATAATTACTTTATTTAAATTACATAAGCGAGGTCCTAGGACGTGGGAAATATTTATCTCTCTATTGTCTTGATTGTGTTTCATTTTGTTTCCAATTACGAGTATAATCATTTTTTTGCTTGTGTTCATTTTATGCTTCAAGGCGGCATGTTCATTATCAGCAGTTCATTTGATATTTTCTTTTTAATAAAAAAGTAATTTAAAAACTTGCGATTCCATTAAAAAGAGCGGTTATTAATTAGTGTTTTAATAAAAAATATTTAATTGCTCCTAACATTAGCGCGAAATGCGAGAGTAATTTTAAGAGGAGACTAATTAAAGAGTACCTACTGGAAAAAAATTTCATGAAAGTTTGAGGAGAAACTTGAAGGAACCGTGACGGAAATTTGAGGGCAAAGGACAGTGTAAATGAAAAAAAGAAGAAATGGGATGCAAACAATTCGGGTAAATTAGTATACCGGATGGCTTCCCATAACGTCACGTAACTGTGATGCCATTTAATAGGCGCCATTAGATGTATAATATTAACAATGTACTCTTATAAACTGTAGCTGTAGCAATCAAGGTCGGCCTATTTTATTAGCTTCTGATAAGATAACTATGAAATTCAAACTGATTTATCTCGATTCCTTATCTAGCTGAAATGTAACGCAATTTCAAAAAATGTAGACTTGCCACCATTTTTTTGGAACTTTTAGAATACTTAAGAGGGAATCCACGTGACGCTCCCCTCCCCCTCGCGCACCAGCAAATTTTATACTTACATTTGTTCAGTTGTATGATGGACTGGAAGTCGAAAAGCATCAGACCAACGAATCCGAGGAAGAATGCGAACGCATTTTGCGTTCCTACATTTCTGTGAGTGTCACACGGCTGCAGTATACTTGCGATTACAGTGTCGTGTCTAGCTTTACATTGCCGATCTTCTTCAAAGGATGGCGAAAGGAGTTGACAGAAGCCGACGTTTACGAGCCACTCTCCGGTTATCGTGCGCGCTTGCTTGGTGAAAAATTGGAGCAGCTATGGAGAGAAGAGGTTGAGAAATGTAAAAAATCGAAAGCGACGCCGACGCTCCGAAATCAGCTAATACGAGCCTTTTGGTTTGAAGGCATCGTGAATGGATTGGTATTGATGGTGGTTGAAGTGATTGTCAAGTGAGTGACTTGAGAAGTTGTAGGTAAAAAAAGACTTTTTAGGCCTCTGCAATGCGTTCTGATAGGCAGACTTATTACCGTCGTTTCCTCCGTGGAGAACGTGGGGAAGCATGAATTGTATATGTATGGTGCGGGGATGGCTTGTTGTTCGCTGATAACTTCCAGCTTAATTCACCCGTACTTGCTGGCAGTACATAATCTGGGTTTGAAGCTGAGGATCGCGTGCATTTCTTTAGTTTATCGGAAGATACTGAGACTAAAACTTAGTGAATTCGAAGGGATGAGTTCTGGCAAAATTCTCACGCTAGTTACAAACGATTCGAATCGTTTCTACGAGATTCCTTTACTGATACACTACATGTTGGTGGCGGTGCTTCAAATCGCGGTAGTTGGATGGTTCCTATATAAAGAGTTTGGGATTTCGTCGCTAATTGGTGTTTTCTTTATAATTTCATTCGTTGGGCTGTATTGTGAGTAACCTTGATATTTACTTTTCAAAGTTTGCTGTTACAGACCTTTTGGGAACAATTTCGAAACGGTTACGTTCGAAAATACTCACGAAAACAGATGAAAGGGTACGTGTGACGAAGGAGATCATCTACGGCATACAAGTGCTCAAAATGTACAAGTGGGAAGGCTATTTTTCGAATTTGGTGTCTGAATGTCGCAGGTAAAGCGCCTACTATTCAAATTTGGCATAACATCTTCAATTTTTAAGATTCGAAATCAGATTCACGCGTATTTCTTCTTACGTAAAAGGAATGTGTGCGAGTTTCCAACTTTTTGTACTACGCACGTCGGTTTTTGCAACAATTTTGGCCTTTGTGCTCTTAGGAAACGATATAACAGCGGCGAAAGCATTTCAATTAGTATCTTTCTACGCTATCCTGCGAGCCCCTATCGTATCCTTCCTGCCAAAGGCAATTTATGTGATAATGGAGTCCGTAATTCCGCTGGAAAGGTTAAGCGAGTTTCTTCGCTGCGATGAAACCCAGAAGGATTCACACGCTCGCTCAGACGAAAGTGGAGACGCAATTATACTCCGCAACGTTTTTGTGCAGAAAGCTTCCACCAACCTTCTTTCTGACATCAATGTCAGTATAGGACGGGGTCGCTTAGTGGTTATTGTCGGGCCGGTCGGTTGCGGAAAAACAAGCTTGGCACACGCCATCCTAAACGAGATGTCTTTAAGCTCAGGATCAATAACAGTGTCAGGAAGTGTCAGTTACGCATCTCAAGAACCTTGGATTTTCACCAGCACTGTGCGACAGAATATCATTTTCGGCAATAAAATCGACAAACAACGCTACGACAACGTAGTGAAAGCTTGCGCTTTAAGTCGTGACCTAAAACTGTTTCCTCACCACGATCAGACAATCGTGGGCGAGCATGGTGCGTCACTAAGTGGTGGACAAAAAGCGAGAATCGGTCTGGCTAGAGCCGTTTACAGGAACGCCGACATTTACATTTTGGACGATCCTCTATCGGCTGTCGACTCCCGGGTTGGAAAATCAATCTTCCACGACTGCTTCAAGTCACTATTGAAGGATAAGACTGTCGTCTTAATTACTCATCAGGTGCAATATTTGAAGGCCGCCGATGACATTATTGTACTGAACAACGGTACGGTAACAGCCCAAGGTAGCTTTTCAGACTTGGTTTCCCAAAACGTCGACTTTGATGTGATACTTTGCAACGGGGACGGTGAAATGATCACAGAGTGCGAAACAAATCCTCAGAAAGTCCGAACAACGAGCACAGGGTCATTGGTGTCCAAGCAGGTAGATGCCCCAGACACAACGGACGAGCAAACAACCAGTGGTGCCGTTGCAAGTTCAGTTTATAAAACCTACTTCTCAGCGGGAAGCCATTGGAGCACCTCGTGCTTTGTGATTGCTCTATTTGTGATAGCCCAAGTACTTGCAAGTGGATCTGATTACTTCATCGCTTACTGGTGCGTGTTAATTCAGATAGAGCGGACATGTACCTAATGTTGTGATTTCAGGGTGAATTTGAATCAAGTACAAACCTCGTCGGTCAGCATGCCAATTAACATATTCATTTACATTTACACAACCATAATCTTCGGAGTTATAGTATTTGTTATTGCTGCAATGGTCACCTTACATAGTTTGTGCATGGAATCGTCAACCGGATTACACAACGCCATGTTTACAAGTGTTCTCGGATCTCCATTAAAATTTTTCCACCTAAACCACTCTGGACGAATCTTGAACCGATTCTCCAAAGACCTACAAACAATCGATGAAGAGCTACCACTGATGATGCACGAGACTGTTTTGATGGGTCTTATGACTACTGGAGCAATTGTTCTTATTGCCGTTGTCAACTACGTGTCATTAATTCCAGCTGCCATCGCTATTGTAATGTTGTACTATCTGCGCAAGTTCTATCTCGCAACAAGTAGGAAGCTTAAACGCATAGAGGCGACAAGTACGTATTATTGAAGATAATATGAAGATAATGAACAAAATTCTAAGCTAGGAGTCCGGTTTTGGGCTATGTAAACGCCACGATCGAGGGATTATCAACGATACGCGCGTTTAACGCTGAGCAGGTTGTGCTAAATGAGTTTAACTACCACCAAGATCTGAATTCTTCCGCCTCTTACATGTTCATCTCAACATCCAGAGCCTTTGGTTATTGGACTGATCTATCGTGCACCATGTTTAACACCTGTGCCATATTTCTTCTCCTTATCACTGGCAGTAAGTGTTAAACACGCACCTCAAGCCTTCTTTTAAGTTTGTAGATAACTTCGGCGGAAATATCGGGCTAACCATAACTCAAAGCTTAGGATTGACAGGCATTCTCCAGTTCGTGATCCGGCAATACGCTGAAATGGAGAACGCCATGACGTCGGTAGAGCGCGTTCTGGAATACGGCGCCCTCGAGCAAGAACCGGAAGATCACTGCATTACACCTCCGCCAAACTGGCCGGAACACGGCAAAATCGTTTTCGACAGCATTTCACTCCGATACTCACGTGAGCTTCTGATCTTAAACGACATCAACCTCGTAATAAAACCAAGGGAGAAAGTCGGCATTGTTGGGCGAACGGGGGCTGGGAAATCGTCGATAATCAACGCCATGTTTAGATTAAGCGAGTTTTCCGGCTCCATTACAATCGACGGAATCGATACTAAGACTGTTCCACTGTGTGACTTGCGCTCCAAAATTTCGATTATTCCCCAACAGCCGACCATCTTCTCGGGATCGTTGAGAAATAACCTCGATCCGTTGGACGAATATTCTGATGCCATTCTATGGACAGCTCTGGAGAATGTCGAACTGAAAGATACCGTCAGTAATTTACCTTTCGGTTTAAATTCGGTAATTACCGAAGGTGGTCTCAGTTTTAGCATTGGTCAACGTCAACTGATGTGTTTGGCGCGTGCGATGCTGAGGAACAACAAGATTCTCGTCCTCGATGAAGCTACGGCAAACGTGGATCCAAAGACTGATCTTTTGATTCAGACGGCTGTTAGGAAGAATTTTTCGAATTGCACGGTTCTGACGATTGCTCACAGATTGGACACTGTGATAGACTCTGATAAGATTTTGGTTATAGACGGGGGGAAGGTTGTCGAATTTGACCATCCTCACGTGTTGTTGCAAGATTGTGACGGTGTCTTCTACGCCATGGTTAATCAAACGGATCGGCGGAATGTTTGCGAAAACGGTAAATAATGTTTGTTCCGTTTCGTATATGTACCTACCAACTTTCGCTTGTTGTAGGATGACCCAAAAAATTCTCCAAAGAACTATCACTGACCTTTTTTAATTGCAATAAAGATTTTTTAAGAATCTTGTTAACATGTTACTCCAAAGACTGCCATGTTATATTAGAAGCCCTTGTTTGATGGATCCCTCTTACTTCTGTTTGCGCCGCTGCTAAAACTCTAGAGAAGCCGCCGATTTCCAATCATCTTCATTCAATTCAGTAAAAGGTTTTGGTAATTCCCAAAGAATATTAGTGAATAATGTTGGGAAGGCACCCACAAGTACCATCATAAAATAGGGACGACCATTATTTTTGGCATAACTCGCATAAGATCAAAAGCTGGTCCGTTGTTCCTTTTTCCGATTCCCTAGGTAAAATTCGGCCTCGCTGACCATTTTTCAAGTCGTCCAAATCGAGATCGACTCCATTCCCGAGAGCGCACACCTATGCACCGGTGCAAGGCAAAAATTAGACAGGAGTAGTAGTTTGAAGCTCTATTAAAGAACGACTTCCTATCAAGAAGTGAAGCTCATGGACAAGTACTGACTGCTCCAGCATCAGTGTGGTTTCGAGACCAAGTCGCCCACTCGAACTTCACAATCCTTCCAGAGGCAAACAACCTCAGTTTCAGAGTCGACACGCGGTGGAAATGTACCAAGATGGCCCAGATTTTCGGTTCTGTAACCACTACCGCAGAACAACACCAACAGATCCAGAATTTTCCCACCTCTTCCTCATCAGCCCAAGGACTACTGTTCCCACACTTTCCTCATAAGGAGAGATCAAGACTTTCTTCCACTCGCATCGTATAAGATTCGTATAAATGGTCCGCCTTTTAGTCCAATACAGTTCCACCTTCCGAGAAAACACGATCCCTACCTTATGGGGAGCATCCCATTCCATTTATAGGCGAGAATCAAGTAATTGTCACTTCTCCATATCGACTATTTCGTTTCCAAACAAGACCTACTGCTATGCAAAGAGATCACGACCTAAATATGCGATTCTTTCTGTGGCAATGGCCCGAAAACCCGATGGATCCACCAGAATCTGTGTTACCTGCTGCCCCGGATGGACGATTTACTCCACGTCACGCTACTCGTAAATCACAATCTATCCTTAAGACCGTGATAATTTTAACGTTCCGAAACTAATACCCTCTATGTTTTGCACTGAAACAATATAGCCGATACACAAATGTGTAAACTCAACTTAGTAGCTTCGTCAACTCCAGAATGAATCCATCGCAGAATTCTTATAGACGACAAACATGGGAGATCATGCATCCATTTGCAAAAACCACTTTCAGTCTCAGCATCTACTGGTGCATCCCACGCCCAACCAAGCTTCTTTTCCCATGTGGTCTGCAGTACCTATCAACTTTGACTTTAAAGTCGTCAGCAAAGTGAATCCAGTGGGATCGAAAATCCTTTGAGCTATTGTCAGCATCATTCTCTTCTTAACTGGTGAGGTATCGGAATTGCCCCAATTTTGAAGAGAGTCCCGGAGTTTCTTCTGTCAACTAGGAAGAATGGTTTTGGGTTTGGTAGCAAACTTTATTAAGGAATTCGAATTCAGACGTCGACGTGTCAAAAATCGTCCTGAAAATGTGAGAAATAATCTCAGAATGCAAGAGGGAATGCAGAGAAGATTATCAGATTGTGGAAACATTTCCTAGAATATAGCATTTTTTGTTTAAATAATATTATCGTTGCGCTTTTAACGATCGATATGTGCGGAATTGTATCTAAAGCCTTCCCACTTGCTCGCATGAGAACATTCTGCCATATCGGTCTATGCATCTTGTAGTTTTATATCTGTAAGTCCTCTGCCTCCTGCCGAACGAGGAAGGTAAAGTCGTATAGTAGAGGAGTGAGGGTGATGTATATGGTGTTTTGTTAATAGTGTACGTGTGTTTCTCTGTTCGAGCTCATAATCTAAAAGTTGTCTTTTACCAGGTGTGATGTGTTGCGTTTTACATTTATCGATTGCAAAGTCCATTTGTATGTTACGTGAGAATGTTTCGGTAATGTGTAGAAGGTGATTAAGTTTTATGCTTGTGGAAGAGTATAATTTAAGATCGTCCATGTAAAATAGGTGTGTAATGTTGTGATGTATTTCGTGGTTATGTTTATATTGTACCCAAAGTTAGTAGTGTTTAACAAATATGAAAGTGGATTAAGAGCAAGATAAAACCACAGCGGACTTACAGGTTCGCCTTGAAAAATTCCTCTTTTAATTTGTATTGGGTCAGTAATAAGTTTTGTGTCGTTTAGTGTAAGTGTTAACGTAGTGTTCCAACATGGCATTATGTAATTGAGGAATTGTATTTTTGTAATCAATGTATGCAGTGTGTATGTTTCGTTTGTTGTGTCTGGATTGTTCAAGTATTACAGAGTCTATAATGAGTTGCTCTTTACAGCCTCTGGAATACTTGATACACCCTTTTTGTTCTTCGTATAAAATGTCGTTATCAGTACAGTGTTGGTATATTTTGTTTGTAATGCATGATGTAAGGATATTGTAGGAAGGCATGTAATTGGTCTATATTTAGATGGCTCTTGTGTATTGTTGTATTTTGGGAGCATGTAAGTGATACCTTGTGTAAAGAATGCTGGAGTGCGACCTGGTGAATTAAGAAGTTCAGTAAATTGTTGTGCAAGGTAAGAGTGGGTGTAGGTAAAATATTTCCACCAACAGTTGTGAATGTTATCAATGCCTGGACTTTTCCAATTATGTAAGTGATTAATAGGTTGAAGATGTCTGTTGTAGTGTTATTCATAGAGGTAATGTATTCAGTGCGTGTGGTAATCCACGGGGCGTGTGGATTGTGTTTAATGTCTTTGGTCCATAAGTCAGACCAGTATTGCTGAAGTGAGTGTAGAGACGGTGGAATGAGTTTTTCATTAGTGCTGTTTTGTGTTAGTGATCTGTAAAATAGTTTTTCGTTATGTTTAAATTGTGTGTTATGGCGCTTTCTATCTACAGCTTCCCTATAGCGTTTTAAACGGTTTGTGTATATTGATAGTTTTTGTGTGAGTGTATCTCTATGTTCGTTATAGTTTGTATTTTGTTCTCGTGTGGTGTGATTGTTTAGTTTTGTAGTTATGTGTTGTACTTGTCGTGTTAGTTTTGAAGAACGAGTTCCTTGTATGTATTGTGTCAATCCGACCCAAGTCACGTCTGATGTTATCGATGAGATTTATCAGGCGTTTTTCCCAAGCCGGGGGTGAGCGATTTTTTGTTGTGTGCTGTTCTTTGTTTATTGTTATTATTATGGTCGGTGTTCCTTGTGATAACTCAGGTCTAGCCTGTTTAACTAATCGCACGGATTAAAATCAAGTAACGATTAGTGTTTGTCTGTACGTGGTTCGTATTGTATAATAATAATAAACATATTAAGGAAATATAGGAATAGTATGTAATTCATACTTACCAAAATTGATGTCCACAACAGCCCACGCTAACAAACTCCCCTGTGGGTTCAGGGATAGAATTGGCCCGCTCCCGTCCTGGAGATCGTAAAAGGCGATCAATGGACACTAAAGGCGACGAGTCCAACCGCCTTTAGTACTTACCTACATTGTTGCTTCCCACACCCACCTTCCATACTCTCCTATCCTTTTATCCCCCAGTTTCCTTTTAGTCACACATCGCACTTTCCTTATTAAAAAACAAAAACGATTAAAACTCAAAAAAGGCCATGGCCCGCTGGCATTAGCGGAAAAATGCAAACCTGGACTCGATTTTTTTATGATGGAAAACTTCTCTAGCCCTTCGGGGCGTCGACTTTTTACTGATCAGGGGTTCGGATTGTCCCCAGATCCGGCAGGGAGCGAGGCGGAGCGGGCCGGTCTCACCCGGTCCATATTAAGCGGCTGCTCGGCGTCGGCGGCAGGCGACCAGACCTCGACGCATGTAAATGCCCCTGGAAGGAACGGCGAGGAAGCGTGTGGCAGCCCTCGTCGGGTTGGTGCCACAGACAATTGCGAAACTCTGGACAACGAGAACGGGACCTCCCGTACAATTAGAGTGGGCAGTGAAAAGGAGGAAACTCATCCCCGGTTCCTGCTCATAGAAAGGAAGATGGTGATTTCAGTAAGATAAGTGCATTTCTTATAGCTAAGGCGGTATTTGGATTAATAGGACAAGTGGATGAAATTAAAAAACTAAAAGGAATGCTATTTATTAAAACGTCGACAAATAAGCAATCTAAGCGATTGTTGCAGACTAAAAGATTGTGTAATTTTGATGTTAAAGTCAGTCCACATGAAACTTTGAATGTATCAAAAGGCGTCAGCTATTGCGAAGACTTTTTGAACTGCACCGAACAAGACATTTTGGAAGGGCTAAAGGAGGAAAAAGTGGTTGATGTTAAACGTATTAAAAGTAAGATTTCAGTGAATCTGGTAGATCCCCCAACCATATTCTCACAATTAATTCGATTGATCTTCCAAAAACCATAAATGCGGCTTTTTATAAGCTACGGGTAAGACCTTACATACCAGCCCCAATGCGTTGTTTCCGTTGCCAAAAATTTGGGCATACAGTCCAAAGATGCCAAGCTCCTCAAATATGTATCTGCGGAAAACGTTTACACGAAGGGAATCCTTGCGAGGTACCAGTTACGTGCCCAAACTGTAACGGAAACCATCCTGCAAATTTCACGATCTTGTGAGACCTACAAACATGAACTAAAAATACAAGAGATAAAAGTAACAAGAAAAGTAACTTATCTGGAAGCAAGAAGGTTGGTGGGTACTGCTGTTGTTTCAGGCACCACCTTTGCTAATGTTACAGCACAAGCTCCAGCTCTGACGCAAACTGCACAAGCTCCAGCTTTGGCGCAAACAAGGTTTATAGCTGAAATTAAAAAAATAATAAACGAGGAAATGAAAGAGCTTATCTCTGTGATGCTAAACTACATAAAAAACTACTAAAAAAACACACCGCAAAGTGTGGAGACTCCCGTACAAAGCTTTATCGTTCCTTCTAGTGGGGTTAGCGCCAATCTGGCGCAAACGCCCATGAAGGATGAATCGAGAGTCGCTAAAAGAAAGACGTTACTGATGCGAAACCCATCTACTGACTCTAGCATCACGTCCGTAGATGAAAAAGATGAAATACTGCAGGGAGAGCCCTTTTAGCATGTTTGTCTCGTTTTTGACTCAAACTGTGGACGATAATAATAACAGCTCACCGGCAGTATCGGTAGAGTTGCGGTTTTCGAACGCTAATAATTGAGATAATCTTAATCTTGGGAATTGATTGACTTCCTTGAACGTTTTCGATTCCGAGCGGTGGGTTCCTATTGTTCCATAATCAAATACGTCTCCAATTTTGATCAAGAGTGTAATTCTAATTGAGAATCTATACACTTAAATTGAGATAATGTTAAAAACGATTATTTATGATATATCTTTACAGGACGGAGATCAAAGGTTCAAGTCTTTCAAACCAACCCAAAGTTTCAACTAAAAATGGATTCTCCAAATGTGAAACGTTTCAACCGCAAAATTTTTGAATCCATAGTATACGGTTAAAAACGATTATATCACTTAATCGAAGAATAATATGGTAAAGCTTAGAATCAAACTTTTGCAAGTTTATCTCTAGCACAGAAAATTCAAACTTTTAACTGAAAAGTGATACTCAAAATGTGAAAGATTATTGATGACTGATTTTTTTATGAAAATTTTTCCATCATCCGAAAGCGATGAAACTTGTTGCGGTGTGTTATGTTCATATGTATCAGTTTTAAAATTGATGGAGTTCCCGCTAAAAAATTTTGTCCGCCTCATTAAGCCGAAAAACTCAAACTCAACGCATCTGGAAAATGTTTTGACGGTTTGGTAGGGAGTGCACAATTCACAACACCATAATCCTCCTCGTGCAAACTACCTCAATTTTAATGAATTAATTTTGCACTTGTAGTGTACTTAACCCCCAGGTTCTACGCTAACTTCACACTACAAGAACACGGAAATAAAGTCAGCCCGGCAACGTTTAAAAATGGTCACCCGAATGACTATTCCCTCAAAAACTAAACAAGATCCCGCTTAAATTTGAAAAGTGGCACGTGATAAAACAACTAAGACAGAGCCCCCTTACGTTAGTTGTAGACAACGCTTTGACCTGAAGCACAGTAGGGAAAGAACGTTAAATAAAACACTGAAATTGTGAAAAGTTTGTTTAATAATGATTGTAATTATTAAGATTGTGAAAGCCCGGAAATTTAGTTGATGTACATTAATATAAACACAGCAAGCAAAGCCAAAAGGTGTCATACTCTCGCAAAAGTAACTGCTAACGGTAAAAAGAGTACGACGTAAGAAAAACCTTGCAGTTTGATTAATAAGTCCAAAAGTTAATTAACAAAATATTTTGTAAAAGTTTAAGCAGTAGTTAGCACAGATAGTAAATGCATATCCACAATATTGGTTACACTCATGGTTAAAAGCAAGTTTTTGGGAACAATGGGTCAGGTAGGAGCAGGTACCGAGATTCTAAGAAAGGGTGAAATACACAGGATGTGACTCATCTTTGGTGCAATAAGGTCCTTTTGTTAAAAGCAAGATGGAAAATTACATGGCCTTGTAGGCAAATTTAACTAAAAACAAGATATGTGGAAATTATTGAATCGCCACTCATTTATCGCACATAGATTCTAAACTGAAGAGCTTTGATTAGCCTAATCCCGCTCCTGCAAGATGGGTAGCCCGCCCCTGGTTTCGGGGTTTCGAGCCTACAGTTGGATGTCGAAGACAATCACGGAATTAGGTGTCGTAACTCAAATTTGACTACAGTTTTTTTACCACCCCCGTGACTGCTTCTTTCACGGAGAAAATTGTTAGTAACAAACAAC